GTCAGCTTTGTCTTCCCGACTCTTGCTGACAGTAGTGCAAGACGAATTACTGAACTGGAAGGGAAGAAGATGTGGGATTTTATGTTAATTTAGGGCAAAATTAGCAGATACTGATGGAGGAGAATTGACAGCTACAGGAATAGATTGGAGATGATGGGACCGCTCCCCATGAAAAAGGATAGGGGAAGAATTCATGCCAGCCAATTGAAAGTAGCTAAAGAGTCATAAAGAAAGCTGGAAGGGCACTTAACTGCTTGCTTTCTTGCTTTTTTTCTTTTAGACCAACAAACAAACAAACCCAAAAGACAAAACAAGCAAACTGTCTCTCTGTAGATTTGGGCGACCTGGAACTCTGTAGATCATGCAAGCCTAACTCCCAGAAACCTGTTATCAGAGGCCGCTAGTTTGTTCCCTGCTACCCAGACTCGAAATAATCATACAGAAGCTGTATTATTTTCAATACTGTTTGGCCAATAGCTTAAGCATATTTCTGGCTAACTTTTACATCTTAAATTAACCCATTTCTATTATTTTATATTTTACCACAAAGCTCATGGCCTAGGCAAGGTTCCAGCTGGAAGCTTGCATCTTTCTACACCGACAACTACATGGCTTCTCCTGACTCCACCTTCTTTCTCCCAGCATTCAGTTTAGTTTTCCCCACCTATCTCTATTCTGCCATGGACAGGCCCAAGACAGCTTCTTTATTCATTCACCAATAAAAGCAAAACATACACAGAAGGACTTCCCACACCATTTCCCCTTTTCTGTTTAAATAAAAAGGAAGGCTTTAACTTTAACATAGTAAAATTACATATAACAAAACAGATATCAAACTAGAATTATAGCTACAATATTTATATCTACTTTATCTTTTTATCATAAGCAAGGAAAACTATAATTATAGCTATCTATTACTCAACTCCATCAAAGACTCCAGAAGGATATAATAGTACCTAAGTAAACAGGAAGTACATTATAAGCAACTTCCAAAACTCTAGAATTGACAGAGGTGTCTCACTGCCTGGACAGTTTCTGTATTGTTGGGGCATTCATCTTCAGCCTAGAGGCCCATAGTATCTGGAAGACTTTTCCACAAAGCAGGAAATTTCAAAGACAGTTCCACCTGTATTCGCAGTTTGTCAGTCACTTTTTCTGTGTCCTGCAAAATGTCTGGCAGACTCTTTGGTGAAACAGGAACCCTGAAGGACCATCTCACCTTTAGGCAAGTTCAGCAGTCATTTCTCTGTGGGTCCTGCATGTCCAGTTCATCAAGCAGTCCAGGCAAGAGCAGTTTCTTGCCCAAATGGGTAACAAACTCCATAAATAGCCTCATCGATGCCCATCTTCCTCTTGAAGTAGATTGGTGCTTCCAGAAGCAGATGTGTCTGTCTCATGTCATGAAAAGTCCTAGCCTCTTAAAACATTTTAAATGCCATATTCTGGGGGCTGGAGAGATGGCTCAGTGGTTAAGAGCTTTGCCTGCTCTTCCAAAGGTCCTGAGTTCAATTCCCAGCAACCACATGGTGGCTCATAACCATCTGTAATGGCCTGCAGGCATACATGCAGGCAGAACACTGAATACATAATAAATAAATAAATAAATAAATAACCTTAAATAAATAAATAAATAAATGCCGTATTCTGAAGGTCTCTGAAAGATTTGAAGAATCCCTCTCTAACTGAAATATGTCTCTATATATCGAGAAAACATGACTAACATGACCTCAAGCTTGTCTATTATGGACGACTATCTATTAACCTATATTTCTTACTTATAAATTACATTTTTTTTTTGGTTTTTTGAGACAGGGTTTCTCTGTGGTTTTGGAGCCTGTCCTGGAACTAGCTCTTGTAGGCTGGTCTCGAACTCACAGAGATCCGCCTGCCTCTGCCTCCCGAGTGCTGGGATTAAAGGCGTGCGCCACCACCGCCCGGCTACATTACATTTTTAAATGAGCTGCACAAACACAATACCTTAATCAAGAGCAGAAATATAACAAAATTGGCTTTAAATTTATATCAATAAATCAAGATCCATACCAGTGCAAATTATTCGTCTTTATAGCATAACACCCTTTAAATGTAAACAAACATTTATAAACAATCATTTAGGGAATTTGGGTGTAGTTCTCTCTAAATTGCTTCTTGCTTTTTGCTGGGCGAAGTATTTTTAGGTGGTGTTCATGGCAACCTTTCAGAAGCTCTTGCTCCATCAAACCACATTAGTCTAGAAGGATTCCACAGGTTCTCATCTTCTGTGGAAACAAAAGAAGAACCTCTTTTCCAAAGCAACAAATCCTTATACCCAAATTTTGAAGCCAAGGTAACCTTTTAAAAAAGTATATATGGGGCTGGAGAGATGGCTCAGAGGTTAAGAGCATTGCCTGCTCTTCCAAAGGTCCTGAGTTCAATTCCCAGCAACTACATGGTGGCTCACAACCATTTGTAATGGGGTCTGGTGTCCTCTTCTGGCCTTCAGGCATACACACAGACAGGATATTGTATACATAATAAATAAATTTTAAAAAAAAAGTATATATGTTGGTTTAGCTTAGCAGCCCATACAATGAAATGTCTCTCTGTACTTAGTTCCTTCACAGTCAAAAAAAATTCAAAGAAAACACAATAGTATACATAATCTAGACTCTCTGCTTGGCCAGTCACTTAAGCCTATTGATAGTTGGCTCTTACATTTAGAATAAACCCATTTTCATTATTTTATATTTTACTATGAGGTTCGTGGACTACCAGCAAGGTTCCAAACAGCTGGCGGCTTGTGTCTTCCCTTTCTGATGGCTCCATGGCATCTCTGACTCCACCTACTCTCTCTATATATATCTCTTTCATCCTGGCTATATTCTGTTAAGCCATTGGCCGAAAATGCTTCTTTATTAACCAATAAAAAGCAACACATATACAAAAGGATTTCCCACATTAGAAACCCATCTGCCTCTGCTCCCAATTGCTGGGATTAAAGGTGTGTACCACTATGCTTGGCACTAACTACCTTCCTAACAAACATACCTCTGTCTTTCTTAGTGAGATAGGGTCTTACGTATCCCAGGCTTGCTCAGACTCAGTGCATGGCTGACAAGAACCTTAAACTCCTGATCTTCTTGCCTCTGCCTCTCAGTGCTGAGACAGTGGGCATGAGCCACCACACCCAGCCCAAATATACCTATTTTGTTATTGTTTGAAGCAGGGTCTCAGTTTGTAGACTAGACTGACCTAGAATTCCTGCCCCAATCTCCTGAGGTGTACACCACAATGCCCCCAGATAAAAACATCCCTTAAGAGGCAGGCGGATCTCTGTGAGTTCAAGGCCAGCCTGGTCTACAAGAGCTAGTTCCAGGACAGGCTCTAAAGCTACAGAGAAACCCTGTCTTAAAAAAAAAAAAAGAAAAAGAAAAAGAAGATATGGAGGAAAATAAGATTGTATAGAAATAGATTTAAAACTAAGTTCTTCCTAGTACTAGTTATGATCAAATGTCCACAATGCACAGAAATTATTTTTAAATGTGATCTTTAAAGCGTGATTTGAATCCCAATCAATACAGTTCCAAGACAATCTGTTTTACCTTTAAAAACTAAAGCTTTTTCAGAAATATTAATTAGATATCCAAAAATCCAATATCCAATTTTATTCAATGTCAAAAGTTGGGTTTATATAGGGGCCAGCTGCCAAATACTCTCATTAATATAGATCGCATTTAGATGAAAAGTTAGCAGCAGAGATCTGTTTGATCATTAAAACAGCCCTTATTGAACATCATTTTATGACTTCCCACAGAGAATGCTTATTAAGTAGATGATTCAAGTAAACAACTGTAATAACTTAGAGAAGTACAGAGGCTTGGGGCTGGATATGTGGCTCAGTTAGTAGAACACTTGCCCAGCATGCATGAACCTGTGGAATCAGCCCCGGCACTACATAAAACCAGGCACAGTGGCTGTGCCTGTGATCCTAGTCCTGGAGGAGTCCAGGCTTTGTGGGGATCATCCTCAGCTGCATAGCTGTTTCCTGCTGTGCCTCCTTGGGAGGACGAGGTGGTCTGATGTAGCACACATTGTGTCCATGCTCCACCTCCCAGCTGCTGGACTACGCCACCAGCCCAACAGCATAGATGACTTGAGGCCCCCGTGGACTGTGCAAAGCTGTCTCAACAGCAATAATAATCCATCATAAAGGCTCCAGGTCTTTAAAAGGGAGCCAACAAGATCCTGAGGTTTCAGGACAGGCATCCTGAGTAGGGGCGGCTTTGAACGGTGGCCTGAGGCCGGATGGCTACCAGTTTGAGACTAGTTCAACCTAACAGCAAACTGTCACATAGCGGAGAGGGGGACAACGGGGAATACGGAGTACTTATGTTGAGGTTTAAGTGTTTTACATGCACTATGCCACTGACTCTCCTAACCACCCTCTGGAGCCTATCACTGTACCAGCCTAGGCCCTTAAAGCAAACATGACACGGTTGAAGAGGCTGCTCACAAGCACCTGGAAACCAAGAGAGGAAACAGGACCGCTACATCTTTTAAGATGTGAGTTGACTTATAGCTCTCAAAACAATACTAGGTCCAAAAAACTTAACTGGTAAATTCTACCAAACCTTTCCAGATAAAGTCACACCAATTCTCTTTAAAAAGTAGCAACAATTTCGAATTTGGGGGTCGATAGAAAGGTAGAGTGTTTGCCTGGCATGCCGGAAGCCCTGGGTTCCAGGCCCAGCTTCACACCAATCACGTATGGTCGAAGAGCCATTTTCTAAGCACTTGGGCAAAGAAGACAGGAGTATCAGAAGTTCAAGGTCATTTGGGGCAGTTTGTTTAAAGCCAGTCTGGGTTGCCTGAGACCTTGGAGAAGGGAGAAGAAGGAGGGGGCAGTTACCAACCTGTTTTACAAAGCCAGCCTTAATCATGCTTAGTGCTGGTATGTAGTTCTCTGCATCGCTCCTGCTTATAAGCATTTGATTTAATTTTCTCATTTTTTTTCTTTTCAGACTAAAACAGATGCACAAGGATGGTCCAAGAATCAAAAGATGAAGGCCTAGTGTTTGGTGCTGGAAAAAGCCAGAATGTAACCCTAACCTAGCCAGGCCCTTCCCTCCACACTGCACCCCCAGCCAGGCCCCTCCCTCCACACCATGCCCCCAGCCAGGCCCCTCCCTCAGCACCACGCCCTCAGCCAGGCCCCTCCCTCCACACCATGCCCCCATCCAGGCCCCTCCCTCCACACCACGCCCCCAGCCAGGCCCCTGCTTTGGAGTAGAGTGTGTACTCCAGAACTCCAGAAGCGCTGTCTCTGTTGGAGGAGAAACGTTCATTTTAATCATGTACTTGACATTTTCAAATATAAGTAACTTAATGTTTATTTTAACTAATGTTAAATTAACAAATTTCAGTATAATCAATATATAAAGTACAAATAGTCACATGCTTTATATTTTGGTTTTATGTATTTTGTTATAAAATAAATGCCTTCTATCCTCTAACTAGATTGTAGAGTTTTCATAAATAGAGAGTTCTTCGTAAGGGTTTGGCTTGTAAATGTTTTGATGAATAAACTTCCTGGACTATATAAATTCTGAGATCACGTAATACAAGTACCAAAACATCTGACATTCTTTAGCACTAAGAACCATTTGTGGCTGGACAGTGGTGGTACATACCTTTAGTCCCAGAACTTGACACAGAGTCAGCAAATCTCCGTGAGTTTGAGGCCAGCCCAGTCTACAGATCAAGTTCTAACACAGGTTCCAAAGCTAGGTGGCGCACGCCTTTAATCCCAGCACTCGGGAGGCAGAGGCAGGCGGATCTCTGTGAGTTCGAGACCAGCCTGGTCTACAAGAGCTAGTTCCAGGACAGGCTCCAAAACCACAGAGAAACCCTGTCTCGAAAAACCAAAAAAAAAAAAAAGAAGCAAACCAAAGCTACTCACACACACACACGAAAAAAAAGGGAAAAAAGCCCTGTGTCTAAAAAAACAAACAATAAAAACCATTTGTGGGGCCACAAAACCATCTAAAATCCATGCCAGATACCCAAACGTAAGAGGAACTGATTCCCAAAAGCTCCTGTGCTCTCGTTATGTGCACCATGGCACATGTGCACCTGCATACATATGAACAGCATGCTACATACAACACACTAAAGTGTATAAACTGATAAACCTTGTTGTTTTTCTTTTGTGAAGAGGGGTTTCCCTTTGCTTGTCTTTGAAAGATCTCCCTGTGTATCTGTGGTGGGCCACTATGTAGTCTAGGCTAGCCTCAGACTCACCTAGCACCCTGTGCTGAGATTAAAGGTGTATATTACCACACCCCTGGCTCTTAAAACACATGTTTTGGTGTTCATGGCTTTTTCCCTTATATTTCCTATTCTCATTAAGCAGGAAAGTCTGCTGTCTGTGGTGAAGTAACAGTTTGCTGAGAAGTCTTAACATTGTTAATCAGGGGGCCGTGTCAGGCACACATCTGTTCAGTGGGAAAAGGAAGCAGTCGGATTTGTTCTATCTTATTGTACATGTTCGCTTAGGTATGTGGGCATGCCTAAAATCCCAGCCCTTGTGTGGGGAAAAGGAGAGGTCTGGGGCTGTTAGTAGCTCAGTGGTAGAATGAAGGCTTAGCCTGCAAGAAGTGTTCAACTCCAGCACCATGGAGGAGGACTCGCAGCAGCAGCAGAAGAACACACTGGGCATGGAACCTAGGGTGTTGAGCTAACGAGTTCAGCACTGTGCTCCATCACCAACCTACAACATACAACATAGATATGTCATAGGGCAAGATTACAACAAAGATTTTGTTATTTCCCGCCTCAGGTGCTGGGGATTGAACATAGGGCCTTGTGCGTGCTAGAGAGGCATTCAACTATTACCTCCCTGGCTTTAGAGGATGGACCTTGATTGACTTTGCTTTTTACTGTAGAAATAGACCACTTTATTCTATCAAATGGAGTCAATGTTCCAATTAACTGAACAGACATGGTTAGTTTTATAGACAGGCAGACTGAAGTTCTGGACAAACCCAGGGACGGACCCACCAGGAGTCCTCAGGGGGGCAGCATTTGTTTGGTTTGAGTCCACAGGCCAGGCCTCAGTTTACACCGGAAGTGTAATACTCTGTGTCCCTGTGGAGTCTTCATTTGTTTCTTTCTTTGCTTTAAAATGAGCTTTGGCTGTGTGGCCCTGCCTGGCGGGGAAATCACTCTGCAGATAAGAATTGCCAAAAATTTGCAGCGATCCTCTTCCCTGTGCCTCCGGAGGGCTGGGATTACAGGTGCGCACCTCCATGCACGGTCTCTCTCTCCTCTTATATCCGAACATGAAGTTACCAGAAATATTCAACCCCCTCTCCCTAGGCCTTTTCTCTCTCCATTTTGTAATTAATACATAGACGAGAAGTTTCTGCCCTGTGCTCAGGTACAATATGCCAGTACTTAACAAATAATTGTCTCCCATCCAAACTGCCCCCTTTAACACCTGCCTCCTTGACAGTCCTGTTCACTGTCCCATTGTCCCTTAAACTTAACATGTCCAGAGCTGAACTCCCCTAGCTTGTCCTCTGGTGATGTCATTTTCAATAAAGCATACACTCTACCACCAGCTGCAATGCATCCACAACCTGCCGTCACCCCTGACCCTTCCTGTAGCTCCCCCACTAACCCCAGCTCTCAGGACTCAAGTCCCAAGCCCTAATGGACTATCTCGCCAAACGGTTATTTTTTTTTAAAGATTTATTTATTTTCGTTCTATGTGTATCGGTGTTTTCCCTGGATGTATGAATGTGTACCACATGCATGCCTGCTCTTCATGGAGTTCTTTGGAGGGTGTAGGATCTCCTGAGCAAACACACAATAGTGGGAACCAAACCTAGGCCCTCTGCAAGAGCAGCAAGTGTTCACAACTGTTGCACCCCAATCCTGTTTTGTTTTGTTTTTTAAACAATGAATGAATGAATATTTCCAAATACACATGAGAGTGAAGGGAAACCGAGGAGAGAGAAAATCACTATCTCAATTACAGTAATATTTGTTGTATAAAACCATCAGTGCTCACTAAATGGTGTTTGAGCTGGAGGCCTCTGGGGATGACTAGGCTTTCCCACTAGTAGTCAAGCCCTGTAACACTAGGTCGCGTCAGACTGGCTTAGTTGAGGCTAGCCTTGAATTCCTTCCTTCCTCTTTCAAGAACTGAAATGACAGGCGTGTGCCCCCAAGGCTTAAATTACACCTTTTAAAAAGGCGCACTAACTGTTTTACTCAATGAGAATGTTTTCTTTCTTTCTTTCTTTGGATTTTTTAAATTGATTTTTATTGAGCTCTACATTTTTCTCTGCTCCCCTCCCTGTCTCTCCCCTCCCCCTCAACCTTCTTGCAAGATCCCCAAGCTCCCAATTTACTCCAGGAGATCTTGTCTTTTTCTACTTCCCGAGGATGTTTTTCAAAAGAGGAGAAAGTACTTGGGGCAATCACAATCTAGCAAGTTCTGACAAAGCCAATGATTTGGGTAACCATTACCAGGAATGCAAAGTAATTAGATAAAGGATATCAGAGACTCTGTGTCATCTGACTTCCAATCAATCTTATCATCCATCAGTAGAAAGGAGACGACCAGAAAAGACTCTTGGTAGGATGCTGTGAACTCAAAAACAGCGCTTGTAAGTATTCTTGCAAAATAAAGTTTCAAACTGGCTCAGATCAAGTCTTCAAGTCAGATATTACTTCCAGTCTTTGAGCAGAACAGAACACAGAAATGCCAAGTTTGTGTCGGTAGCTCAGTGGTGAAGGGGCTGCTTAGCATGCACCAGAGAACAATCAGCTCAGAGGAAGGAAGGTTGGCTTAGGCTCGGCCTCAGAGCTTTCAGTCCATGGTGAGTTGGCACCATGGACAGCATGGACGACAGTGAGACACTGTCTCAAAAACCAAAGCAAGGGCAAATGAGATGATTCATTGCGTCAAGATGTGTTGCAGTCGAGGATGGCAATGAACTGGTCCACTGCTGTCCGAGAGAGCTGAATGGTGAAGAACTGAAGGAAAACTCGAACTCATTTCTAAAAGTTATACTCCTGGCTCGTTTGTCAATTTGACACCATCCAGGGTCTGTTGGGAAGAAAGAACTCGAACTGAGAAAATGCCTCCACCAGACAGGCCTGTGGGCAAATCTGTGAGGCTTTCTCTTAATGATTCATGTGGGAGGGCCCAGCCCACTGTGGGTAGTGGCACCCCGGGCATGTGGTTTGCGGTGCTATAGATAACAAAGCAGGCTGAGCAAGCCATGAAGAAGGCAAGCCAGGAATCACGTACGCTGATTCTAACACTTGGGAAACTGAGGCCAGGGAATATTGGGTACTGGACCAGCCTGGGCTACATAGTGAAAGTCTGTCTCAATAAAACAAATAAACAAGTGGGGTTGTGGGGAACCCACAAATATCAAGAATTTTCAAGCATTATATATATCATAAAATATATATATTAAAAGTACAATTTCCTCTTGTTTATAATAATGCCCTGTCGGGATGCCCCTACACCCGCTTTAAGGCAGTGCATTCCTGTGAAGTACTAGCTGTGGTAACTACACTTCTGCTCAGACTCTGAAAGGCGAGTGCTATCATGGAATAAACAAATCAATAGCACACATACCAAAAGGACTAAATGCAACAGAGTCTTGCATTCAGGTCATGCTGGTCTCGAACTTCTAACCCCTTTTCCTGTTGTCTGAGTGCAGAAGTAACAGGTGCTGGACTGCCACACTCACTAAAAGAATGCTGTCCACCCACCCCTATACTGGAGACAAAGCCAAGCACCAGAGAATGCAAGGTAGGTGCTCTGCCTCTAGGAAATAGCCCCCTCCCCTTTGAATTGAAAGAGAACATTAGAAATTCATTCCCAAAACCAGAATATATGCTTGGCTGCTATCAGTAGCAGAACATTTGCCTAGCAAGTGTAAGAGGCCCTGGTTGCCATTTTGCCATTATCTGCTCCAGGGACTCCACAAGAAAGAAAGAAGAAAATAAAAGAAAGGAGGGAGGGAAGGAGGGAGAGAGAGACACAGAGAGAGAGAGAGAGAGAGACAGAGACAGAGACAGAGATAGAGAGAGAGAGAATGAACCACAAGCCTTGCCATTTTATCTAAATACACCAAACGCTTTTCAGTTCCCAGAATTTTATTCAAGCTGAAGCTAAACCCAGGACAGTAAAGAGTGTTTGTCATAACTTCCCAAAGGATCCATAAAACCCTCTTCAATTACATATTTCTTCTATTCTTTAGGGAAGGGACAAGTCCCCACATCGACCATGCTAGCCTCAAGCTCTATAAAGTCAAGGATGGCCTTGAACACCTGACTCCCTAGCCTCTACCTCCCAAGCACTGGGATTGCAAGCTTGTACCACCAGCCCCAGCAGTGGCTATGACCTGGCACTGTAGCCTCAGCTTCCTGGGGGGCTACAATTGCTACTGTGAGCTGTTACAGACTCTTTCTTTATCCAAA